CTTTTCTGTCAGTCAAGCTGCGAAACCATAAATGACTTGTTTTAATTCCTCTGTTTGCCGTGAGCCTCAGGAAACCCTTTAATGCGCGGCAAATGTCAGTCACTAGCTAGTCATATCACTAGTCTAACCAGGAAATTCAGTTTGGAGGACAAAATTTATTATTGAAGATTTAAATTTTTAAGAGTATTTTTTTTATAATATTAAATTATTTTTTTTAAATCTTTTGTTTTTCACAAAAAATATTTATTTATAATTTTTTTCATTGATATATTTGTAGTAAAAATTAAAAATAAATGTATTTTTAATTATAATAAAAATCAAAATATTATAGTAATAAATTATGCAATGAATGATTAATTGAAGAATGAATAAAAAATATATATATTTGTTAGTTGAATCTTTAATAAATTATGGAGAAAAATATCATAAAATTAAATTATTTTAATAAACTTGCATTAAAAAAATAAAATAACATATTTTTAAAGTAAGAATATGAGTGTTTTTGATTTTATTTAAATAATGTAGTTTTAGAGTGTTTTTTTCTTAATTTTTTAGAGATTATATTGATAAACACTAATATTATAAAAGAATATTAAAATATTTCTTTTAAAAAATGAACTCTAACTTAAATTAATTTTTAAAAAATTATAAATTCAATCATAAAAGGTAAAAATGTACATTGATGCCAAAGGAAAAAATTTTAAATTATTTCATAAAATATCAAGAAAGAAAATAAAAGAATACTATGAAAAACTTGTTTAAATAGATAATTAAAATTTTTTTTGGGCTTAATAGATAAAAAGGTGCTTAAAAATCCTAATTCTTAATTAATTAATCATTATAAATTCATTTTACTTGAATTATATCTTTATTTTTTGAAAACTTTTTATTTAAATTCTAAATTATTTTTTACATTTGAAATGATCCTTAAAATTTATACTATAAAAGCAAAATTTTTAACAAGTAAAAGTTAGAATACCATATTAAATGTTTTTCAAAAGCTTAGGAGGGGCGGCTGCCCCCCCTTGTCCTTCACTGGCTGCGTCCCTTGGTCTAACTGTTACTTTCATCCATTTTTCTACCCGAAAATTCACGGATCACAGTCCTACGTTCACAAATATCGTCAGAATATATATAAGAGAATGATGACATGTTTTTTTGTGTTTATATATTAGAGTAGTCTACAACTGGTTGTTCCAAAAAGTCTGGGGTACCTTGAGCATCACTGCCGATGATATAGGAATAAGATTTCTATGATTCAAACTTAATTAATTTCCAAAAAGATTTGACCGAACATGTATACAGAAAATTAATGATCGGGCATTTTTGTCTGACCATAATACCTCTGCGTTAATGTTAAAAACATATTCCCATTTCCTCTTATGTTTATATATATATATATATTAGAAAATTAGTTGTTAAACAGTGTAAAATTTAAATTATTCTCACCTTAATTAATTTTAATTAAAATTTTAAATTAATAAATATTAATTTGATTGAATTCTTATTTATTATTACCTCTATAGGGTTATGTTAATAAATTAATGTCCGGTCTAAACTTTGAACAGAGTTCAGAATGTTGCTGTCTTTGTTGTTGAGGGAAAGCAATTGAATAATTCAACTCCGTATTAATGGTGAACGGCAGTGTGGTGTATAATTAAGTAGGTACGTGGCGGTAATGATAAAAGATCAAACTTCTGCTTTTGCACGTGAAATGTATATATATGTCGAAAAGATACTTCTGAATCTCTTAATGCAGATAAGGTCGTGACTGGTGAGGAAGACCACCTAAAGGGGAGGGAAATGACTAATGAGTAACGTAGAAAATTGAGAAAAGTCTTGGGTCGTGTGGTCGGTATGGGTGTCTTTTAGGATTAGGATAATGGCTCGTTGTCTTGATGATTGAGGAGAGTGCCTTTCACGAGGGTAAAGGGAAATTTCTTGGGTACCTCTAAATTAATTAATATGTTAAGAAAAATCGTTAGAAAGCTGATATGCAATTTTTTATATATAAATTGTAAATTTTATAATTAATCATTAGTTGATGGAAGATGGATTTTTTTTTATCTTAATTATACAATAAGAGATAATTATAATAGAAGATAAATTTTTAAAATTAAGATAATATTTTTTATTAATAATTATAAAATATATTAAAAAAGACCCACAAAACAGCAACATTAAAAAAATATTTATGAAAGGGAAGAAGTCTACAGTGATTTATGGAAAGAAAAGAATTTGGAATCACTTAGAAAGTCAAGGGAAAAATGTGAAATCTCTTTTCTAAAATGGCACATCAAAACAGAGGTGGGGTTGGATGTTGGGGACGTGGGGTCAGTCAACTTTGATCTATTCACGGCAAACGGGAAGTTGCTACTCACGGTGAACTAGAGACTTCAATCTGAATGGAAAGAAGGGACATTTTGGGTCATTCTAAACGAATTCTAAAGTTAATAACCAGTCTTATGAATTAAGACCAAACCTAACTATCAAATGAAAAAGAAAAGGGCAATAAAAAATAATTTTTTTTTTAAAAAAAAAAAACTTTGCGTGCTTTCCATGG